TGCATCCAGCGTCAAAAAGATTATCATTTTAAGGAGTTACGCAGATTTCAAATATGAAAATTGAAATGTTTTTAAACGTGATGAAAATAAATTATTTGTGAAAAAAAAGTAATCCATGTGGGGAAAATTTTTTTCAAAAAATGTGAATTCTCCACTAAAAATGAGCATGAAAAACCCACGACCCTTGTTGCCCCAATAACCTAAGGCAGAGTACTATAAAGGAGGAGGGGAGGGAATCTGTTCTCTTTTTCTCTGGGCTCCCGAGAGAGGAGCGGGAGAAAGGAGCTTCCGGGCTTCCGGGCTTCCTTGGTGGGTCCTGGGTCCTGGGTCCTGGGTCCTGGGTCCTGGGTCCTGGGTCCTGGGTCCTGGGTCCTGGGTCCTGGGTCCTGGGTCCTGGGTCCTGGGTCCTGGGTCCTGGGTCCTGGGTCCTGGGTCCTGGGTCCTGGGTCCTGGGTCCTGGGTCCTGGGTCCTGGGTCCTGGGTCCTGGGTCCTGGGTCCTGGGTCCTGGGTCCTGGGTCCTGGGTCCTGGGTTCAAGATAATTTTTTTATTCCTGAAACTGAATTCAGACGATTCATGCAGTGATATAGTCTATAAAAGCATGATTTCTTGGAGCGCAATAATTAGGAAATTGAATGATGATCTGACTTTTTTTTTTTGAAATCGTTTTTATTATAAATAAATTTTTCATTTTTGATACTTCTTGAGCTCATGTTATTACAAGTTTCACAATATGTTTTCGAAATGGGTATATCGAATTTTATTCATTCCAAACTGTTCAAATAATATCATTAAACAATTGCTTACACTCCGCTAACTGTAGCTTCATCTTTACGATAATAGTCAAATTTTGTATATCCTCCATATTCTTGTTCACCACGTGACATATAGAAAGAAGATCCAGGAATCTAGTGTGTCCAGTAGCTTGATAAATTAATTGACAATATTGGAATAAAGCAGATGTGTAGGCTCCTCGTTTGGAAGTGACGATAGCCGCACAATTTTCAGATAGAGTGGAGATGGCTGAAAATAAAACATTTTTTGAAGGATTTTTTTCTGTTTTTACCAGGATCACAAAAAAGTATAACGGTGACAAGGAGCAACTCCTCATTAGTGATGTTCAGTTCAATGAACTTGTTAACCAGTAGACTTCGAATTTGGCGTAGAAATTCTAGCGAGACATCGAAAAATCTGAAAAATCAAAAATCAGAAAACAAAAAATCGGGGTTCCCCATACTCGCTCAATGCATCAGGTACAATTTCATGGCCACCTGGCGTCACAAGTTTTTCATTTTTCCCACGCATTGTTTTCAACGAGGTGAATAGCATTGTGGCTTTGGCGGCAAAGCTTTTGAGAAGGGTAATCTGGAAAATTATGTTTTTTTGTTCCAAAAATATGGGGAAAGACTGGAAAACCCACCTTATCTTCCACATCCAATTTCTCCATAAAATCCAAGTTCAATAAAAAATCGACAGTTGTATACATCCCAAAGAATCGCCAATCTTCGTCAGTTAATTGGTAAGTCGGTGTCTGAAATTTTGAAGAAAAATTCTTTTTTTTTTCGTGAATCAGGAAATTTCACTCACTTGCGTCACAATCCCTATTTTTTTCTTTTCGATTATATCTGTTAATCCAGGATTCTCAAATGAAAATTTTGACATCAAAATCGTGGTTCTTCTAGAATCCAAATATAGCAATTGTCCTATTATTTTGTCTAACGTGTTGTCAGTTTTACAATCGTTTGTTAGAATTGCCGACGGTTTGATGAACATTCCGGTTTCCAGGCATTTTTGAAATCGACAAAATTTACAATGCGGAGTTTTCGAGTTTTCGGTTAAATCTGAAAATCAATAAGATGTGTCTATCTTATACCATTTAAAAGCACTCCAAATTTCCTTCAAAACTATATAAATTTCATTGAGTTTGGTTGCCGTTGAAGCGAGTTATGCGTCTTTGAATTTCGACGCAGAGACGCAGAAAAACAAGAACGCTCTAGCTTCTCTGCGCCTCTCCCTCATTCTTCAAATAGCTTTATCTGGCTGTAAATTCCACTCACTTTCAAAACACCGCTTACTCCTTCTACAATTGAATTGTAAATCCAACAAAAGACATCTTCTAAAAAACATTTTGCAGGCATCACATGACAAACTCTAGAAAAAAAATTAATCGATTTTTATTTCAAACTTTTCAATTAAGCTTACCCCATAATTTTTACCAAATGCCGGTCTAACACAGATTGTGCATTTTTTCGAAGGCGATGCTGGGCTCAGCATACTGAAAAAATGAGTGAAAAAATAAAATGAAAAAAAAGCGAAAGCTCAAGTCAGAAGAAAACATAAGGCAGAGATTGTGGTGTATAAGGAACAAAACTATTTTTGAGGCAGATGTGATGTTATAAGCTGGAGATTAGCGTATGATTTTGAAAACTTTGATGTTTTAAACCTCATTTTTTTATTAGCAAAATGAGCTCATACTTTTGAAAAGGTTGAAAAAAAAAGAAAAAATGGGGTTACAGAAAGTTAGATCTGTTAGGCTAACTTTCAGGTGCGAATCGAAAAATTGGATTAGACGTATGAACAAATTCTCGCAGATTGGAACCGGAACTTTTTAATTGGATTTTCAAAGTTAATTGAATTTTTGCAAGAGCAGAACTTTGGCTATATGTATAATGTGTTCTGTGGATAGTCTGGGGCTCCAAGAAAGTTGATAGATGTTTCATTGGAATTGATGGTTTTGACGAACAAATATTGTCGATTAAAATTATTTATATTATCAAAAAGCGCTCATAAGCATAAAAATGAGGTCATGTGAAACAACGAATGTGATAGAAGCAGGAAAGTTAAAAAGCTGGCATAAAAACTAGGGGTACATATAAAAGTTTAGATCATTGCCAATTTTCAGATCGAAATTCTGAAGGTAGTTTCTAAAAACATTGATCGGCTAAAAAGAGTGTTTCGGGCGGTTTGGCGATATCAGAAAAACGATGAATATAAAACTTTGGCTCCTGGAGTATTTTCAGATTTTAAAACAAATGACATTTACAAATTATTGATATCTCTCGACGGTTTTGCCAGAACCGTGAAAACAGAAGGCGGTCCTGAAGGTATCGGTCGCACTCTATAACTTAAAGGAGGGTAGACATCAAAAATTTCAAAAATTTCATTTTTACTCAAAAGATATAACTCTGAAGTATAAATATAGCTATGCACTTAAAAACCTGAAAAAAACACTTCAAGGACGAAAAAATGCTCTTTTTTTGTCACCCGAATTTCTTCATTAGCTTGCTGCTGCGACGTCGCTTCATAATGTGAAAAACGAGATGGTCGCCTCTTACACGCGTAGTGTAGTGGGTGCGCTCTAGGCTAATATTCAGGAGGTCAGAGGTTCAATCCCTGCTGGTGTTTTTACTTTTTTCTTCCCTTGTTTCCTTCGTATTGAACTTTTTGAACTCGGAATTTCTGAAGGGCTACCAGCGTGCCGCCGAGGCCTCGCTCCGAGGTATCAAAATCAGTTGAAAATGAAGAAACGTGTTTTATTATGTTAACAAATAAATTATGAAAAAAACTACAATTAATTTTTAGAAAGAGACATAACAATTGAAAGAAAAACCACATAATTAAAACAATCCTCGTGCAGGGCTGGTCGTCGGAAGGTGAAGGAAGCAGTAAAATTGGAGACGTCTCTGAAAACCCTAGTCATAAAACAGTTTTTTATTCCTAGAGTAATAACGAGAAGTAATGAGATAAATAGGAACAGTGAAGAAACGGTTATCGAAGAGAAAATAGTTTTTTTCGCATGCCTATAAAAAACACCGGCGACTGGAAAAATAATCGGTCGATAGAACTTTAAATTTACATTAAAAAATTCACTTTTATATGGGTTTTATAATAAATAAGAAAAAAGAGCTTTTTTAATGTTTGAAGTCGTTAAAAATTGAAAAAAATAAAGTCGGGAAATAAAAATAAAAAAATGTTTGCGCGTGGGATTGCGCGCTTTAGGTGCTAACACCGCGACGGCAAAATACACATTCCCTGAAATTTTCCCCGAAATTTTTGCTGTCTGCCCTCCTTTAAAACAAATTCTCGATAAGGAGTGTGAACCGAAATCAGGACTAATGTTGAGAAAAAACCATGAGATGAAGCGATGAGGATTGATATATTGATCAGGTACTTAAAATGCATAGTCCATGAATTCGAAAAAATCAAATACGCAGCAGGAACAGCCAAGACGATTGTTGGTACGGCCATCTGAAAAAGAGGATCATTCATGAATGTGTATTTTTCTTATGAATGAAAAACACACACCTGTAAAATCAACGCGTTTTGAAATCTGATTTGCAGGTCCACCGTTCTTTTCGAAACACTTTTTTTGATCTGTTGTCTCAAAAGTTTTCCAGTCCAAACTGCGAAAACTAGAATTCGAAGTGCAAGAAATCCCAAAGAAGTTGCTATTATTTTAATAGGAATTGCGGTATGGCTGGCGAAAACAAAAACCCGACCTAATTCGATATAATCTGGGACGCAACACATCTGTTAGAGAACTTCAGCTTACGCTTCTGCTTGTTCTGGCATAGAATAATAGACAGGAATAATATAACAGAATGCAATAAGATAGTTTAGTATAAAACATGGCATTCGCATTTTTAGCCACCAGTGATCGTCATCGATGAATATCAAAAATCGAGCTTCAAAAATGTGGATCATTGAAACAGTCAGAACTGGAAATGAGAAACTTTAAAAAATTCGTGAGAGCGTGATCAGAGCAACTTGGTACCTCCTATTAAAACTGCAACATACAGTATGTGCAGGATTGTACTTATTCCAGTCTCCTTGAAAAGTCCCAATGGACATCCAGCAAATTTTGGAAAAAGAAGATAGGGTGTTGCCAGTATACTTAGGCTCACATCGAGAATACAACTCCAAAAATGACAATTCAAAAGATTCCATTTAACAGAACTCATCATTGGCGGAGTCTTGGATAGAATGCAATAGGTTCCAAGTAGATGGGTGGGGATAGTTATCAAACCAGACGAGTGTAAAGAATATGAAACGAAATAGGAAGTATCCCAGAATGTTGTGTTTGTGCAATAGCTCATTTTTTCAATAATCAACTGACATCTCGATCAAAATTGTCGTTTCATGATTTATAATTGAAAAATAAAAGCGCTCCGATTATTCACCTGCGATGATCACTTCCTTGGGTGGTTTTTGTTTTCTGCAATACTTTTTTGGCGGAAATTGACGCAATTAAAAATTGTAAAACCAAATGAAAAATGGGTTCAGCAAACCAAAACTGACTGGAAAAATGAAAAATGAAGATAAAACTTGGTATAGTAAAATGTTAAGAGGATCTAAATTTTTCGAATCTCTTGGTAGCCGAAGAACTGAATTTGATGTGCCAATTTCATAATTCAGGCATTTTCCCAAAACAAAAAAAAATTTTCGCGATTTTTTTTGAGAAAATATCTGAAATATCAAATTTCGTTTGACTCTAAGGATTCTTAAATTTTAGGAGGTGACTAGATAAGCGAATTTCAACTCATCCTGAAAGTTTTATCAAAATTTGGGTTTACAAGTTTTTGAGGTTCCCCTGGTAGAGGAAGAGGACAGGACATTTTCGGGTTTTTTTTTGGAGTTACAGTATGCATTCTGACTTGACGGGGAACAGTGATCGGCGTTTACACAGCGCGTGGCTTTCGCTGAAATAATGTACGTAAAAAACCAATTTCCTGCACCTTGTAATTCAGTATGGCATAAACCACATGAAAAAGAAACATTACTATTAGGTTGATAAGAAAGTTTCTTCCTTTTTTGGCAATTTTTTGATCAAGTTTTCCTTAAAGCAGAGTGGGCAATATCAATGAAAGTAAGGTCCATAAGCATCGATAGTTGTCTGGCAACGCTCTGGCAATTTCGTGGTTCCATCGGCCCAGAACGAGGACGGCTGCGGTTGAAAACATAGGTCAACTCCTTTTTTGTGTCATCTTTTCAATTGAAGTCTTTTCTATTAAGATGACGTTGAAGAGCCCAAAACGACCATTTATCCAAAAGAACAAGGTTCGGAGAATACGATGAGTGAAGTGGAATAATTCAGCCAAACGACATGAAATTTTAGCTGCCCGGTCTAGTAACGGGGGATCTCGCGCTGTCGTCCTATACTGAAACTTTGGTATTTTCTCCTTGTTTCGATTCGACTGCCGAATTCAATTTCTCTAATTAGGAAAAATATAAAGTGGCCGTAATAATGGTACATTCATCTAAAAGTTCCCAGTCTCCATTCCTTTGGCACACCATCAAACTCATAATTAGATTCCCCGGCCAACTGAACGTATGAAGAAATGATTCGACAAACATGATCCTGTCCAATTGGAAATCCATATCGGAGTCCTACAAAACAGTGGCTACGAATCGACCCAGTTTTTGACTTTGCCAAGAGACTTCGATCCGTTCACAATACTTGGCTGACTAACTGACAATGCCTTTGACGTTTCACAAATGGTTTGAATTGGATCCCCCCTACACTACTCTTAGTAATTGATCGAGATCCGACTCACTAGTCCATTGCCATCTTTCAAACTGAACTCCCCTGGGCGGAATTTTTCGAACCAAACGTCAATTGTAGGATATGAAGGAACATGTCCTTTATATACTTCCACAAATTTATTGCGGATACCAGGTGTTTGAAGAGCAAATAAAAATAAAAACATAATCATGTTGCGTATGTGCAGTCGGATATCAACCAAGAGAATCGTCATTGCTCCAAAATGAAGTGAGATAAAAATTTGAAAATCTACGATCTAATAGACATTGAACACAGCTATCCAACAAGAAAACCATCCAGCCTGGTACACCACTTTGGTAACCAGTAATTGAAGCTCAAAAACAAGCCTGCCAAAAAGGAAGAAACTTTCTTATCAACCTAATATATCTCAATATTTTTAAACCCACCTCCCCGTGCGTAGTCTGTTCTCAGAAAAACATCAGTATCTACCGTAAAAACTAATTTCCGCTACTTTATACATGTTTTCCTCTAGCACCAAAAAAATGTTATTCTAACATTCAACTATCTGAAATGCCAGCCGCTGGAAACTATCTCCGCTGGATTACTCTTTGTCAGGCATTACCCCAAATCGGGGTTTATACATCTATCGGATTAGGTTCAACAGTATTGTTTCTGAACTTTTGTGGAGCTCAAAAACAGTTTGGACCCTATAAGTACATTCTCAACTCGTTCACCATTTTGGGTATGATATTTGCGATAGTGGACGTTATTGTTTATCCGGTAAGAGTGTTGCATTATTCATCCATTCAAACAATAACAAACCTCAGAACGTACATAATTACAACGCCGGCTTTATTGTCTTCACATTTGTCAAACCTTTTGGTATAAGTGATTTGAACGAACTAGAAATAATTCTAGGTTTGACTGTAAGCATTTCCATCCTGAACCTTTTGTTTCAGCCAGCTACACATTTTTCTACGCTGCTACAATAGCTTTGCTATCCACCCAGTTCATTTACCGGTATTGGGGTATTTTCGAGTGAGCCAATCATTTTGTTTTCAAATTCTGTACTAACCAATTTGAGTGTGTATAAACTGCGGTACTTCAAACGGTTCTATTGGCTATTCTGGCCAGTATTTTGTTCATACTTTGGTCTACAATACGCCCTGGGAACCTTGTTTTGTTTCAAAATGGATACTACATCCATGGAATATTTCCGAGAAGAAATGCAGTATCGATATGACTGGAATATTTCTGAACTTCCAGCTCTGATTCTGTTAGCATATGACCCGTCGAATGGAATGGTCCGGTGGAGAAATGTTTCGGGAATTGCAAATAGTTTTTATATTGTAACGACCCTATACGGTATCATGATGTTTTGTGGATGGTCCATGTACCAAAGGATGGAGGAGAAGATTCAAAACTTCTCGGAAGAACTCAAAAAACATCAGAAACAATTTTTCAAGGCTTTATGCCTTCAGGTTCGAAAAATTCTCCCAGCTTAAGCAGAATCGAAATTTCAGATCACCGCACCTACAATGGTTTTGTTCACTCCAGTCTTTGTTATAATACTTTTGCCATTTTTTGATCTGCCAGTTAGCATTCCATCTGGACCATTTTTGGGATTATTCGCTTTATATCCAGCAATGGATTCATTAATTGTGATGTATGTAGTGTCCCAATACCGTCAAACAGCGAGAAAGTTGTATCAAGATTTTCGGAAGGCTCTGGAGAGTTTTAAACGTGCTAGAGGAACTGTCCATTATGCTGTTCCCAGTAAGTTGTAGCAAAATTGAACACAGGGTTTAGAAAATTCAGAACTATCTGAACCTTACTATTATGGTACGTGTATTGATCTTCTTGATCGATTCCCATTTGAGAAAACTGCTAAAATAATTTTGCAGCCACAACTGCTCACACTGAACTACCTCAAAACTCACTTGGCGGACAAGTAAATCTGACAAGGCTCAAAAGAGACATTCCAACTTTATGAATAAATCTATAAATTTTCATAAAAACCATTTTCTGACATATAATAAATTTTCCAATCTTAACACTTTTTTACGTTTGTTAATTCTTCCTAATCTGTAATACTTACCATGGGTTCCGGAAGCAACAATACAAAGCTTCAGAAGGCTGAAAATAGTCAATTAACAAAGCATGCATCGGTTTTTTTTGTTTCTATCAAATGAGGAAAAAAATCCAACCTACAGGGTGGGGAATAATTATAGCGCCCAAACTTTGCGCAAGCTCTGGCGCCAGCAACACGGTCTGATTTGCACACCCTAGTATTTTTTCACTTCATTTTTTTAAAAACTATTTCTGAAAAATCCATGCAATTATTCCAACTTTGAAGGTAATGGTGACCGTTTTTCCATACCACACTCCTAGTATGGAGCGCGCGAAAAAGGGGAGAGAACTTTAGAGACCGCTAAAAAACTTGGTATCAGGAAATCAGTGGTCAATCAGAAATTCGTTCGGTTCAGAGAATTGGGAACTTTCAATAATATAAGAAAAAGCGGTCATCTGATGTTTGGAACGGCTCCTGGAGTCGTCAAAGCCGTGAGAGAGAAAATCAGTAGGAATCACGAAAGAATCATGAAAAAAAATGACGTCGTAGTTTAGAATGCTCCGCAAATCAATGAGAAATATTTTCCGAAAACAGCTCCATATGATTCCATATGATCCCAAAAAGGCGCTTTCCTAACGGACAGTAACAAAGGGTTAAAACTGAAAAAATCCAAAAATCTCCTTCGAGGCACGCCCTTCGGCACGCACTTGAAGACCGTTTTTTATAGATGAAGTTGTTCACTGTTCAGGCAAACAAGACTGACCAGAACAATTGAATTGAGGCTATCGATTATTATAGTGCATGTAGGAGATGGAAAACCCAGAATAAGACATCTCACAAGGTCACGGTGAACGTATTTGGTGAGATATGCTCAAATGGTAAAATTTTGTCGATTGTGGAGCCAAGATCAACAAAAATCCTACATCGAACGAATGTTGAAGTCGGAGGTGCTGCCCCAGTCCCAATCACGTCTTGTGAACGAAAAATGACCATTCTATCAGTACGGAGTGCCTGCACACACTGCAAAGCTCACTCGTCAGTGGTTCCAAACCAATTTTCAGGATTTTCTCCCTAAGGATCGATGGTCAGCTTCCAGTCCGGTACTCAATCCAACGAATTTTTTGTTTTGGGAATATTGGACCCAATGAGTTTCCACAAAAAATTATCCTAATTTGGAAGCCCTGAATAGATCCTTGACCGCGGCATGGGACAATTTGGACGTCAACTACCCCCGTGCCGTAGTCGACTCCTTCTTGAAGATACTTCGAGCTGTTATCGGAGCTAACGGAGGAAGGCTCAAAAATTGTTAATGCCATCTTTTTTGTTATCTCTTAATGAACATCTTGACCGAATTTGAGAAAAAAATCTTTTGGTTTGAGGTTTCTACACCGTCTTGAAAGCGGCGCTATATTTATTCCCCACCCTGTATTTATTTATTTTAACAGTATTGGTTCTAAATTTTAGTGATTCTCAAAATAAGCTTGGACCGTATAAATACATTTTCAACTCGTTCGTCAATGTATATGTGTTGAAGATACAACCAATTGAAGAAATATTTCTTTTTTATATTTACTATTCGTCCAATTAATAACACACTTCCGAACGTACACAACGCAGGCTCTATGGTCTTTACATTTGTCCAATCTTTTGGGATATTGAACGTACTAGAAATATGCTGATTAAAATGTGCACTTTTGAGACCCTGATATGAACCAGGAACAACCTATTCAGTTTTCAGAAAACTAAAAAGTTCATTAACAAACTTTTCATTACTATTATACCATAAAAATAATACATTGTGTATGTTTTCAGTAGAGAAATGTGTAAAATAGGGGGCCAGAACTGAACCGGAAATTAGGTCTGTGCCCAAAGTTGAAAAACTTAGAAAATATTTACCGTATTCTCATATGAACAACATTTTTGTTATAATTCGTATCGTCTACCTACAGAAATAATGTTGTCGTATCAGTTCTCAAGCGTTTTCACAAAGATTGGATTTCTGCTCACCTTCATGTCTAACTTTTTCCTGATTTATTTAACTCTGTTTCATATCAAAAACGTCTTTGGAACTTATAGGCGTATGGTTATCTATTTCACAACTGTGGGTATCATTTTCGCCGGTTTAGAAATCGTCGCTCGGCCATTTGCTCAGAATTACAATCAACACATTATGTACTTCAGTCTGAACGAATGGATAAAGTCTCAAGAATTGTGCCAGGTTGTTCTTGTTATTTGGGCTGGCATCTATATTATCATTGTGGCATTTATAAGTGTACAATTTTATTATCGATATGTTTGTTTGCTTTTTCCAAAACGGACGAAAAATTTTGACGGGTGGAAAACTATGATTTGGATGGGCTACCCATTTCTTCCAGCGTCAATTTATGCTGGAACTTTATACTTTTTCTGTCTCCCAGACGAAAATGGTGATGAGTCATTGAAGCAAGTGAAACCCATTGAAATCAATCCGTTCATCTGTACGCACAATTTGCAGAGACTATGTTCTTGAACACTATCATCTGGATATCAAAGACATACCACGATTTGAAATCACTCCACTAGACGCCAATGGATTAAGACTGAAAAATGTATCATTTATGATAACAGGTCTCCTGATTATGTTTATCCACTACTTTGTCATTCTTTACTGTGGTCTCAGGATGAACCACAATATTTGTGATGCGCTGAATAAAATGTCCCAAGGGCAGCAGAAGATTCAGCGACAGTTCTTTCGAGCATTAGTGATACAGAGTCTTGGCCCAACTATTTTTTTAATTCTTCCAGTTGCTCCAATTTTTGCGATGCCATTTGTTTCCCTTTATCTTGATATTGCAATCAGTGTCAAAACGGGGTGGTTATATTCCCTTGTTGGCTTATTTCCACCCTTCGATAGTATATCGTTCATGTGGATTGTGTCCGAATACAGACGTGTTATAAAAAGTGAGGAAATATTTCCAAACATGGATAACTCAAAATGTCCATTTTTCAGATAAACTTTTGCTTCTCATAAACACCATTCCGGAGAGCCCAAGAAATACGAGCCAAATGAAAGTGATTGACAAGAACTGAAGAGCTTTGGAAATTTTTCCACTATTTGAGTATCTATTTGTACATGCAGTCAAATCAAAGGGCAGTCAAATCAAAACAAGGAGAAAAAACCAAAGTTTGTGTATTTATTTGTACATGTCAGAATGTACTCCATCCAATAAAAAGTTTTTATTTTCAACAATCTCCTTTTTCATAAATTGAACACTTTCCGTCAAAAAAAAACGTGTTCTTCGGTTTTAGTGGCCTAAATTGCCAAACAGTGTTCTCATGTAAAAAACCATCGGGTACATATACCCAAACCAATTTCCGGTTTTGTCTACTTTACTACTATGTACATAAATCTATTACTTCAAGAATATTTTACTAAACCTCAATATTATCACGTTCAATTCTCGGTGCTAGTTCGTTCTCAAAAAAACTAATCCCTCTACCTTGTGCCTGTTCTCCACTAAATGAAGAACAAGAAAACGTTACTCAAACACCCAACTCTCCGAAATGCCAAGCGCTGGAAACTATCTCCACTGGATTACTGTATCTCATACATTACCTCTCATTGGATTTATTACATCTATTACATTAGGTCTCACAGTATTGGTTCTTAACTTTTGTGGGGCTCAAAATAAGTTTGGACCGTATAAATACATTCTCAACTCGTTCACCATTTTCGGTATGATATTTGCAATTATGGAGATTATTGTTTATCCCGTAAGCGTACAATATAATTCTGTTTTCAAAACTATAACAAATCTCAGAATGTCCATAATTACAACGCTGGCTTCCTTGTCTTCACATTCGCCGAACCTTTCGGTGTAATGGATCTAACAGTGCGACGAATATTCTTAGGTTTGCATGTATTTCCTTCTGTTCTAAGTATTTTTCTTCAGCCAGCTACATGGTTTTCTACGCTGCTACAATAGCTTTGCTTTCCACTCAATTCCTTTATCGGTATTGGGGTGTTTTCGCGTGAGTCACCCATTTTGTTTTCAAATTCTGTACTAACCAATTTGAGTGTGTATAAACTGCGGTACTTCAAACGGTTCTATTGGCTATTCTGGCCAGTATTTTGTTCATACTTTGGTCTACAATACGCCCTGGGAACCTCGTTTTGTTTCAAAATGGATAATACATCCATGGAATATTTCCAAGAAGAAATGCAATATCGATATGACTGGAATATTTCGGAAATTCCAGCTATGGCATTAGTGGCATATGATCCATCTAATGGAATGGTCCGGTGGAAAAATGTGGCAGGGGTCATTAATATTGTCTTCATTGTTATTTCCTTATACGGTATCATGATGTTTTGTGGATGGTCCATGTATTTTAAAATGGAGGAAAAGATTCGAAACTTTTCTGATGAACTCAAAAAGCATCAAAAACAATTATTCAAGACTTTGGTTCTCCAGGTTCAAAAATCTTCTTACAGTTCAAGCAACATTGAAACTTCAGATCACCGCACCAACGATTATATTGTTCACGCCAGTATTTGTCATAATACTCATGCCATTCTTTGACCTACCCGTTAGCGTTCCTTCTGGAGCATTCTTGTGCACATTCAGCTTATATCCAGCAATGGATTCATTAATTGTGATGTATGTAGTGTCACAATACCGTCAAACAACAAGAAAATTGTACCAAGATTTTAAAAAGGCTATGGAGAGTTTTAGACAGGCTAGAGCGACTGTTCATCATGCTGTTCCCAGTGAGTTGTTCAGACACAGGTTTTAGAAATTTCCGAAGTATTCGAACCCATATTTGCTGCTGTTTTTGTGTTCTTGATCTATCCAACTCAAAAACCGCAAAAATAATTTTTTAGCCACGACTGCTCATAGCAAACTACCTCAAAATCCTCATGGCGGACAAAGCAATCTTTCAAGGCATACAACAGTCGTTCAGACACTATAAAGACGACTCTAAAATATCATTAACATCATTCATCTGTCATTGTTAGTATGTGTGTAATTACTCTCAAAATCTATAATATTGACCTCGAGGCAAAAGAAACTATACATATTCTTACCATAATCAGAATGTTTGTTGAACAAGTTTGATCATAAAAACAAAACAACTTCCGGCAAGATCTGTTTCCTGCGCTTCAAATATATGGTTGGTGCGCCTACCGCGCGAGTTCGTCGCTCCGCTCCTCACATTTTTTACAGCATTTCAAATTGAAAAAAAAAACTAATCAAACTTTCTAAGATCGTTTTTCATTGAGCATGAGACCTACCAACACCAAGAGTTCATGGTAGATCAAATTTTGTCTTATTTTTCCTGTGGGAAATTACACTCATGGGTAAAGGAAATGACACATAGCAGAAAAGAACAAATGACACCACTATATTTATCTATTATAAAAATGATGATGACGATAAGAATTATTAATACAATGTCATTAACAATGATTTTTAGCGAGCGAAGTAGTTGTGATGAAAACGGAAGTAGTTCGTGCTGTAAGAAAAAAAAAACTGTTTTAATTCGGTTTCTGGAATAACTAACATTTCTTGGGACACTTCTTAAATGCAGATCTCATCTCCTTGTTAGACAAAATTATGATTCCTCTGAAACGTTTGAAAGTATAGAGGTCCTTTCCTAGAAATCTCATTCTCACCCTTCAAATGAATGCACAAATCCCCACAAAGAAGTTAATAAGAAGAGAGCGATTTGATTTGAAACATGTGGAGCAAGCACATAATATGAAATTTGACCTGTGGCAACAGTGAGTCCTTGGAAAAAAGTCTGCCTGATGAAGTTCATCTCTCTTTGTTTCTGTTGTTTTGAGATTTGCAGTCCGGCTGCATTAACCAACATTCGACTACTTCTCATAGCTTTAAATGCTGTCAGACAGTTGATAGTTACAGTAACCATAGCGAAAGAAATATTGAGCATAAAATCAGAGAACCAAGTTAAATGATCGCACATCGGGGTGTCCAAAAATTGAAGAGACCAAGTGTGCTCATTATACGGATATAGACAACCAACAAATTCGTATAAAATTGTACATCCGATGATTGAAACTATCCAAATCACGATTATTATTCTTTTTGTGTTTCGAATAGTAAAAACCAGTTCGTAAAACCCTGATAGGTACAAATTGAAGAATCTATTAAGAGCAATCATTAAATGGCACATGTAGGATATCTCATCTGATATCATTGCTGTTGTTCCAACCCAATGAGTATTAGGAATATAAGATTTATACGCGCTGAAGCTTCTAACTTTCAATTTACAGTAATTATAAAAAAACAAACCCAAGTTGTAAAGGGACAAACGAGAGAAAACAGCAGCACATCATAGAGTTACATATTGTTTGGTATTTGGTTATAGTACCAAAAGAGCTGCTCATTGAAGTCATTCGTCGCGAGGCAAAGAAAACATAGCTATTCGCTATTATACCAGATACCGTAATCTGAAAAGATAGTTTTAGATATTTGCTGGAGATTGGGAAGCTTACAACAAATGTGATGATAGGAAAGAGGATATCGTTTTGCATATACATATAACAGAAAAGGATGATAAGAGCTGGGGAAACCTCTGCTTCAAGTTGTAGTGGAGCTCTGTAATCTGGAAGACTGAAAAACTTTCTATTAAAATTTCATGGAATTTTCATTTGCGCCTGGGAATTCAACAATTTTTTCTACATTTTTTCACATTTTTTAAAAGTTTCAAATTTGACTGGTTCGTTCTCTGTTAATTTACCATGAACATCATTGAAAAAATTGAAGGAAAAATATTATTTCAAAATGTAATTTTTTAAAATCAAGTTCCGCATAAGGAACGATTTTCGCCCCATTTTTCTATTCTGACAAAAACACCGTCTCTTTTCCCAAGAAATAATTAATTCAATATGCAGTTTTTTGAATTGATTTTTGATATGAAAAATGCGGGAAAAAAATGAATGATAATGTCACAGGGTTTCAAAACGTGTGGTCAAAAATCACCAATGATTTCAAAGTATTTTCGATTACCGCTTAAAAACGAGCGCTTTTTTCGCTTATCGTTGTACGTTTGATACTCAGCCAACAAAACGGAAAAAAATATGAAGAGAGATTTTATGTTCGCTGGTGCTTCTGACCAGTAGTTTCGGGCGGGAGTCAGATGTTACAATTTGAAATTTTATACGTCATCCTGTTATAGTTGAACTAATTTTTTTCCAATTCGATGGAAAATAAATACATTTTCAGGTTTAAGTTCCGAAAAAGAAAATGGTTGAATGACATTTTCATATTAATACAACTGAGCGATGCCGCATATGAAAGCGGTCCGATAGCCCTGTGAACACTAATCACTCCCGAAATAACCCAAAAAGTTTAATGTTTCCCCTCCGTTAGCAAAAATTATATTCTTGGTTCATGTTGGAGGAATACAAAATTCAAAAATCAAAATCGAAAAATTCGCCTTGTTTTTATTTGTCCAGATTTCTTAGTTCGAGCACATCTTGGAGCAGAACCTTCCCCCATAAGCAATCTTTGAAAATGTTTCCTTAACAGTTTTTTAAATTGTAGCTGGTCCTAGCATATGTCATAAATTCTGTAAATATTTAGTGTATTTTTGTGAGGATGTTGTTTAACAACCTACCAGCCTGTTTGCCGCGCCTCCGGCGCGAAGTGATATTCGTCGCTACGCTCCTCACTCTTTTTTATAGAGTCACGTGAAATCATATTTAATTTTCAAGCTTTCTAAAAATGTGTGGACAAACTGACAGAGAAAGAGACGCAACTTCATTTATTTATTACCAGCAAGCTGGTGCGCCTTCGGCGCGATTCAATCTATTTTTTTAAATGTTCGTCGCTTCGTTTCTCACTTTTTCTAAATAAAAGGGTCACGTAAATGTATATGTATTTTTCAATTTTTTCAAAAGTCCACAGACGGACACGAGGACGGACAGACGCCTCTAGCGTTTTATTAATAAGGAAGATAAGAATGATACCAAAAAGTTCAATAACAAAACTTCCTATCATGAAAACATCAACTTCTACGATAATATGCATACATATTAATTTCCGGTACATTGTTCCTGTTTTTTAGTTACGATATAAGAAAAAAAGCATTCGAACAACCAGTTCACAGTAATGCCGACAGCTGGAAACTATCTCCCCTGGATTACTATCACACATACCGTACCGCAAATTGGATTTTCTGCTTCTATTGGATTAGGTTTAGTAGTTGTGTTCCTGAACTTTTGTGGGGCTCAAAATAAGTTTGGGCCGTATAAATACATTCTCAACTCGTTTACCATTTTGGGTGTGATATTTTCGATCGTGGAGGTTGTTGTTTATCCGGTAAGTGTAAGATTCGAGAAAAATGAACAAAGATGTCATTTGTTCCGGTAACGGGATACCAGGTCAAGCGTTTGGCGTTGAAGAAAATGAGTTTATATTTGGAAATGTGAATTTCAGAACGTTCATAACTACAACGCTGGATTTCTTTTCTACACATTGGCTGAACCATTTGGTGTCATAGATTTGAACCTGCGAAAAATTTTTCTAGGTACGTCTGTCTGTTTTTCCAGGAGTCCGCATTTGTCGTTGTAGCGAGCTACACGTTTTTCTACGCGGCTACAGTAGCTCTATTAGCTACACAGTTCATCTATCGGTACTGGGCTATTTTCGAGTGAGTTTTTTTTCTTCAGTCTCGACAAATTCTGTGATAACATTTTAGCGCCTGTAAACTACGGTACTTCAAAGGTTTCTATTGGCTTTTCTGGCCACCATTTTGCTCATTTTTTGGTCTACAGTATGCTCTGGGAACCTTTCACTTATTCGAAATGGACACAGTTTCCACGGAATATTACCGAGATGAAATACAGTATTGGTATGGTTGGAATATTTCGGAAATTCCAGCTATGGCATTAGTGGCATATGATCCATCTAATGGAATGGTCCGGTGGAAAAATGTGGCAGGGGTCATTAATATTGTCTTCATTGTTATTTCCTTATACGGTATCATGATGTTTTGTGGATGGTCCATGTATTTTAAAATGGAGGAAAAGATTCGAAACTTTTCTGATGAACTCAAAAAGCATCAAAAACAATTATTCAAGACTTTAGTCCTCCAGGTTCAATAATTTTTTCTCTCTTCTGTAACTGTTAATCTTCTGTAACTGTTAATTCCAGATTACCGCACCTACTATTGTATTATTCACTCCGCTTTTTGTGATAATACTTCTTCCTCTTTTCAATCCACATGTCAGTCTTCCTTCAGGAGCTTTCATATGTTCATTCACTTTGTATCCAGCAATGGATTCTATAATTGTGATGTATGTAGTGTCCCAATACCGTCAAACAGCTAGGAAGTTGTGCCAAGAATTTCGAAAATCTATGGAGAGTTTTAGACAATCAAGAGCTACCGTTCACTGTTCTGTTCCCAGTAAGTTGTTGCAAAATCGAACACAGACGTTAGAAATTTCTAAACAATTTGAACCCAATTACAATGATACATGTTTTGATGCACTTAATCTATCCATTCAAAACAGCCTATATATTCTGTTCTTCCAGCCACATCTGCTCAGGTCGCGTTACAACAAGATCCTCTTGACGGACAAAGTAACGTGGAAAGGCTAAGCGACACGCAATCGGTTATTCAAATTTTTTCTGAAGATCTCTGAATTGTCATGAATGCCATCTGTACGTCATAGAATACATTTTTATTCATATAATGTTTTGAACACGTGTTTTTTATTGCTACCTAATCTGTAATATTGACCTTGAGTGACTCATGATAGAATAAACTATACAAATGCATCACATGACTAAAAAATTTGTTTGAAAAGAGGAGACATGAGATGTGTCAAAGCTTTTTTATGGAGTTATGGTATGCATTCTGACGTGACGGTGTACACTGATTAGAGTTCACACAGCGCGTTTCTATCGCGCCGCTTTTATTACAGCACTGTACAAAATGAATGCGTCGGCTTGCTTTTTGAGGCTGACTTTTTCGAAGCTCAATGTTTCGTTCTGAAAGTTTCAAATAACTTTCAAACAGTATTCAATAGATATTTACAACAAGCACCTTTCACATGAACCCCCTAACCAAAAAGAGCCAAGCTTTCAACCTGGTGCGAACCTGGTATGAGCCTAGTCAGTTTTCAGAAAAAGTAAGTCTCATAAGAAAATATAATTCTACCATGAAAATTAATTTCCGGGAGGTTGTACCTGTTTTTAGTTTTGACAAAGAAAAAAACATATTCTAACAACCATTTATCTAAAATGCCATCCGCTGGAAGCTATCTCCACTGGATTGATATTGCTCATACTGTTCCGCAAATTGGATTTTTTGCTTCTACAGTATTAGGGTCAATAGTGTTGTTTCTGAACTTTTGCGGTGCTCAAAATAAGTTCGGACCGTATAAATACATTGTCAACTCGTCTACTATTTTGGGTATGGTATTCTCTATCGTGGAGGTTATTGTTTATCCCGTAAGTATATAGCTGAAGATTAAAAAGAAGAAGGGCTTGACGTTCATGACGCTTTTTTATATATTCGTTTATTCGAAGATTTGAAGATAAATAAAGAGTGATGGGAACCGGGAAAAGAAAATGATAAAACGAAGCTAACAAGAAGTAAGTAAAAGCTAACAAGAAGTAAGTAAAAGCTAACAAGAAGTAAGTTGTAAGAAGGACTAACCCGCAAGAGTTAGTCCACCCGCAAGAGTTAGTCCACCCGCAAGAGTTAGTCCAACGCTTGTATTGAGACAATTACCAATACGCTTTAAAATACTTTTTTTTCAATTTTTCATTATTTCTCAAATCAAGTTGAGTTTTAGAACGTTCATAACTACAACGCTGGATTCCTTTTCTACACATTGGCTAAACCTTTGGATGTCATTGACATGAGGCTGCGAAGAATTTTTTTAGGTACGTCTGTTTTTTTTTCAGAAGTCAGCAGCTGTCGTTTCAGTCAGCTACACGTTTTCCTATGCGGCCACAATAGCTTTAGTAGCGACGCAGTTTATCTATCGGTATTGGGCTATTTTCGAGTGAGTTTTTTTTTGACTCGGCAAATTCATTAAAAAATTTTAGCACTTTTAAACTGCGGTACTTTCACGGTTTCTATTGGCTTATCTGGCCAACATTTTGCTCATGTTTCGGTCTACAGTATGCTCTGGGAACCTTGTTGTTATTCGAAATGGATACAGTATCCATTGAATACTTCCGAGAAGAAATGCAGTATAAGTATGATTGGAGTATATCTGATATTCCAGCTATGGCATTGGTAGCATATGATCCATCGAGTGGAATGGTCCGGTGGAAAAATGTGGCAGGAGTTATTAATATTACGCTCATTGTCATGACACTATACGGCATTATGATATTTTGTGGATGGTCCATGTATTCTGAAATGGAGGAAAAAATCCAGAGCTTTTCGGATGAACTCAAAAAGCATCAAAAACAATTATTCAAGGCTTTAGTCCTCCAGGTTCAATCACTTTTTCGACCCTTGGTAACTATTAATTCCAGATTACCGCACCTACTGTTATACTATTTACGCCCCTGTTTTTAGTAATACTTCTTCCTCTTTTCGATACACATGTCAGTTTTCCTTCTGGAGCTTTTTTATGCTCATTTACTTCATATCCAGCAATGGATTCAATTATTTTGATGTATGTAGTGTCACAATACCGTCAAACAGCAAAAAGTTTATACGACAAGTTTTGGAGAGCATTCAAGGGCTATAGGCATGCGAGCGCCACCGTCCATACTGCTGGCTCTGGTGAGTTGTAGTGAAAATCACCCAATAATTCTAATACGTGTTTTGATGCTCTCGATCTAACCAATTCAAAAACTGCCAATATTATTTTTTTTCAGTCATAACTGCTCCGATTAAATTAAATTAAATCCACAATGCCGAAACAACGTAGGAAGCCTTCGCGACACACGAACAAACAGAAAAATATTTTGACAAGATCTGTAGAAATGAAGAAAAATTATTTATTAAGTTTTAAAAACATTTTTTATTGCTTCGTAATCTGTAATATTGACTTTGACAGACTGATGCCAAAAAAGGATTAATGTACATGCCTTCGGAAGTCTGAAAAATGTCAATTTACGAGACGTATTATCATAAGAAACATACGCATAATTGCTCACTCTTCTGTAATGTATCAAAAATGTGTAAACGAAAAAAACACTTCTGATATCATGATAAACATTTCATCAGTGGAACACTTTTTAAATTCTTTAACAGGAAACGAAAAAATTTGGTTCAAAGTTAAATTAGGGGCCCTTTTATTACAGGTTTTACTATAACTATATACTTCTGTTAGAATTGTCTTGAATTGAAGCCAGTTCCGTAACACATAATGTATTAGTTTTCAATTCGCGTAAAAACATACATTTTCAATGTGACTAAACCATCCTTTGGGATTCGTCTGGGATGATCAAGTTATCGAGAAACACAATAACAATTTGGTAACGCACCCAAGTCTAGACTAGAGTGTGAAGCATTAACAGGTTTGGTATAAAAATACCTCCTTCCTACTAAAACCATACCCAAAATGTACATCAACTGGGTTCATCACTATGTCCCCAAGATTTCGTTCGTGCTGTCTCTCATCGCTAACCCTCTGTTCATCTATTTGGTGATAACCTGTAAAAAAACCCTTTTTGGGAGCTATCGATATTTATTGTCCTTTTTTGCAACGTTCAACTTGTTGGCCTCGTTTTCGGATTTGGCGACTCCAGTGGTAAGAAAAAAATTACCGTAAAACCTGTAATAGACGGGCCCCTCCCAAACCGGTAACCTTATGCTCAACTATGTCATTTTCTGTAAAAGATATGTATCATTAAAATTGTTAACTGATAAAATTTTTATCAAGATATCAAATATAGTAAAGGAGATAAATTGACTCAAAGTTGGAGTTAAAGGAGGCGAGACAGCAAAAATTTCGGGGGACAGTTCGGGGGACGAAATCGCGCCGCGCTTATGTAGACCATCGGTCGTCAGGCGCCTTCACGCCCCCGTAGCTCAGCCGGTAGCGGCGCTGTACCCCTGAGCTGCCTGTCATGAGTTCAACCCCTCACGGGGGTTCTCTATGCAAAATATCAGGAAAACTTTTTTTTGTTTCTGGCCTCCTTTAAGGTTCTTCAAGAGTGTTTCGGCTATACCTTTTAGGGTCTCTGGCCTTTACGGGCTCTGTCAGAGATCCTAATCTTTTTTTTGTAGAAGACTACTGTTTAGGATTGAACTTTCAGTGTGTATTCAACTATCGCTATGTGTTTGTAACTTTTGTGGCGGATGGTCCTTTTTCTTGGGTACGTAAGAAATCTTTGTATTGCTTATAAGAAGGTTTTTCTAGAAATCAAAATATGGAGAACAACTTCTATACTATCGATGTGGAATCGTTTCTGGAACCTATGGGATTCTGAATGTTCATTTTGTGTTTAGATACCTGACTCTAAAAAGGTTGTTCTTTGAATGTTTTGAACTAAAATTTTAATAAATTTTCAGAAACGCTTTCGTTAACAAACATTTTATGCCTTACGGGTTGATTCTAGCAATCATGTATGTTGCCGCTCACATTGCTATTTGGGCGGCGGTAAGTGGTAATAAAGAGAAACGCTCTCTATTGAGAATTCAGGTCACGGGTCTTTGTCTCCACTCGGCTCAAGAGATGCGTGATTACATCCGAGAACCATTCAAAGCGCTTCATAATGAGAGTTTTGATGATATCACATTCGTGGCCGGCTTGTTTTCAGTTAGTTAACTTCCGAGTACTGCACTTCCGAGTACTAATTTCTAGGAAACCACCGCCGAGATAGCTGAGAGATCATGGACCGGAATAGTATTGTTGACAGTTATAGCGAGTTACTCTATTGTTTTGTATATTGTCCTGGGATATAAAGTGAGTCTGAAAACATGTTTTTTGAAAATTGTAATATACTCAGATCGTCACCGGTATAAACACTAAATCATCAACGATGAGTAAGCAGACGGCTCAAATGCAAAAGCAATTATTCAAAGCGTTGACAATCCAGACGATCATTCCAATTTGTGTCAGTTTTATGCCATGCTCATTGAGCTTTTATGGAGCAGCGCTGAGGATTGATTTTGTGAAGTAAGTTGGATTTAGAGGGCGAGGTCTTGAAGTCTCGTGGAGTCTTGTGGAGTCTCGTGGGGTCTCGTGGAGCCTAGTGAAATCTTGTTGAGTCTCATGAAGTCTCGTCAAATCTCAACAAGTCTCTTGAATCTATTAGGTTGAGCGAAAAGTCTTTGTAATTTTTTTGGACTATCATATCTCAGCGTTGGTTTAAATTTTCATTATTCTGTTTTTTCTATGTTGTAGTATTAGTTGTGCATGTTTAAAAAATTTGTTAAAATTAACGACGGCGTTCATTATGACCGAGAATTTGCTCAGAGACCACCATGCTCTCAGGGGTGCTTTTTCACACGAGTTTCTCCAAGGTCACGAGGGCAGCGTAGCTTTACGTAAATTGTGTGCAGTGTTAGGCGATAACTTTATGTACTACAGTATAATAAAGTTTTGGCTCAAAAGTTTCTCCTAAGAGAACTACGATCTCGAAGATCTGGTCGACCACGTGTTGATCTCAACGAGAACATCTCTAGCGCGCTGGAAGAACAACCAAGAGTAACGTCACGCTAGCTCGCACCAGGTCATAAATTCATGAATATGGAAGAGTGCGAAAGTTTGGTCAACTTGCTCGTCACCTTTTGACGGTTTCACAAAACCATTGCTTTGCGACATGGCACATTCTCGGATCACTATGAAACGTAGGACCAATTGGGTTGAGAATATTATCACTGGTGACGAGTAGAAAAAGACGATGGGTCCCGGCCGAGAAAACCGCCTAAACGGACACCAAAGGAGAACTTCACGAGAAAAAGTTATGTTGCTCATTTGGTGGGACAGTGAAGGCGTTATCTTCAGAAGACTTCTTCTAGGCGGCTTTACTATCAATTCGGACCTCGACTGGACTCAAATGGAAAAAGTGTTGCCGCGTTATCAATCAAATTGTCCGAAAAATTCCAGCTTGTTGATGATTCATGACAACCTAAGACCACCCACAACTTTGAAGACCCGTCGGAAGCTCCAAATGCTCGGAGCCAATGTCTTTTGTCATTCACCGTATTCACCAGACCTGGCTCTATCCTAATATATTTTGTTCCGTTCCCTGCAGAATCTTCTTGGTAGGCAGAAGTTCCATGATAGAAAGGATATGAAAAAGTGGTTGGACGACGTTTTCGCTTCCCATTCTCCCGAGTTCTATGGTAATGGAATCGCTCAACTTCCATTGCGTTGGCAAGAAGTCATTGATACTTTTGGTAAATATATCACATTTGAATTTCGCTTTCTTTGAATAAATTTTGTTTCGAAAAAAAGACTAAAAATTACAAAGACTTTTCGCTCAACCTAATAGTAGAGTCTCGTTGAGTCTTGTCGAGTCTCGTGTAGTCTTGTTGAGTCTCGAGGACCCTCGTTGAGTCTCGAGGACCCTCGTTGAGTCTTGTTAAATCTAGTGGAGTCTCACCGAGTCTTGTCGAGACTAGACTAGACTCAACGAGACTTGAAAAGATTGTCGAGTCTCGTGAAGTTTCACCGAATCTAGTCCAAGCTAGGCTGTAACTCTCTTCAAGAAATTTCCTTTTTCAGTTGGGTCTACTGGGGCGCCGCTGTGGCTGTTTCATTTTTTCCATTTCTGGATCCGGTAGCAGTCACCCTTTTTCTACCAACTCTTCGAAAGAGGCTTATTTCATTTGGTCATGTTGATAATTCCGTTCATCAACACTACTCGGATACTTCTGTAGGACATTAAATTTAGTTTGTCTAGAATAGTTTATTCTATGTTGAACTTCGGAAACTTTATACATCATGCTCTAATGATAAGAGGGACCCGTGGGTATGACCGATAGACCCGCAGACGCTTTTTGCACCAATATCGACGATAAAACTTGTTTTGGTCTCACAGCATCCCAGTTGCTCCAAACAAAGATTAAAGCGTTGCAACAACCTTAATTTTAAGATTTTTATACTTTCAAAAGTTTTTGGAAGTTATTCTCACCACTGATCAGCAAGCAGGCTAAATAAAACGCTCCGATTAACTTAAACACCGAGAATCCCGTCAGTTCAACTATCCCAACACATACACTGGGAAGCGTGAGAAATAATAAGGATGACATCAGAATCCCAGTCGACGTGCGATGAGCTTTCGTGTATTTGTTTTGTCCTTGTTGTGAATTCAAAGATCCTTTCTGTTTGGTCACTACACGGAGTTTGTGAAATATCAACGCGGAGAGGAATACGGTCATAAGACCGAAAACCTGAAAATGTTTGAATTTATTTAGAATATGTACAACCTGTACTAGAAGGGCACCCACACAGTCAAGTTTGGGTTCAATTATCTATAATTCTATGCAAGATATCTCATGTGTGTCAACTGACTGAACGTTTCTGATATTATGATAAACAATTCATCAGTTGACAAATTTTTATTTTGTACCCCCGAATCGGGGAATTTTTTTTCGTACCCCTAAATTGCTTTGTACCCCAATGACCCCAAAACTTTTGCGCCATCTGAATTATTTGATCTTTTTTATATTTTTATCAGGAACCCAGCAACGTGGCTCGAAGTAAAAAATTAGGGGGGGGGGGGGGACTTCTATTACAGGTCGTACGGTTTTCTACACTATGCCACTTACCATATTCGAAAGCCCCCAGTAGTTTAGGAACTGTTCTCCCACAAAACACCCAACACCTCCGCAGTCTGGATGATGCTCAAGTTTAGTTGAGTACCAGTAGAGAAAGTCATCAAATATAGCAAAAAAGATGGACAAGAGAATAACCGAAATGGAATAATCTCCTTGGTCCATGCGTCGGTATAATGAAGGAGAGAATAGGGCCTGAAATTCAAGAATTTTGATTAAATTTAAACGAATAATGATCCTTTAATTCACTAGGAATTTAGACCAACTTTTGCAACTCACAATGCACCTTCCCAACGCTATTCCAACTGTAATAATTGCTGAAACCTTTAGCTGCAGTGGCAATGGCTGTGCTAACAACATCATGAGCCATGGATCGTAATCCAACTGGATCGGGTTCCAGTTTATTGTAACGTATATCACATAGGGTAACCCTCCAACAGCCAATAGAAAGTCACCGAGACTCAAAAATACAATAAGACGCAAACTTTTATTTTGGCGCAGCTCTTTTTTTCTGAAAAGTAAATTTATACATTTTAGAATACATATTATTAATAGAGAAAGTTTACCTAATAAACAGAAAAATAATGAAACCGTTCAACAGAGCACATATCGCTTGGCAAAATAAAATAAAAATATAGACAGCTAACTTGATACTATTCGACATTTCAATAATATTGCCGATGGAAGTCATTTTCCGGGAGTTGTGAGGAAGCCGAAAAACTTTGTTTTCAAGGAAAACTTCTTTATTGTGTTTTCGTGCTGAGTTAGTTTTTCTTCTTTTCGATAACAAATTCTTTCATAGTAGACACTAATTTTCCCAGAACACGAGAAAGAGAAAATTGTTATTTTTGAGTAAACTGAGTCAAGCTCTATTCAAATCGAAGACCTTTATACAAAGTACAGTGTAATTTTTGCTGAACAGGTGCGAAAAATGAATATTGGTGAAATTAAATATTTGCCGTTTGGTCAGGTCTAGACGCTGTTATTGGGCGACCTGTAAAATGTCATATAGGAATTAGCGAAAATCTATACTCACTTGTACTAGTTGCACCAACGGAAGACGTTCTTTTGAGTCCACTGATTTCGTTAGCAAAATTTCTAAAAGCCAAATAAACTTTTTCGGCTGTCTTCCGGTATTCGGATACAACGCTCATCACAATTAATGAATCCATAGCTGGATACAATGTAAAACAGCATAAAAGGGCGCCGGATGGTAGACTGATGTTCAAATTGAATACAGGAACAAAATTAATGAAGGATATTGGGATGAACAGGATCAGAGTCGGAGCTGTGATCTGGAAAATATGAACGCTCAATATTCGGGTCTCTACCAGAAGGATGGTCTCAAGTTGGGACCATCGATCCCATGGTAAAACCATCGGTCCCAAACAAGACTTCCAGTATGGCATGGTCGGTGGATCGGCCGACCCAGCCGACTGACAGTCAACCCGACATTATCGAATCCGTGCATTTGCGGCAGAGTGTTTGCGTACGCAGCATCGAAGCTGACGCGCAAATGCACGAATTCGGTCGGATCGGTCAGAACGGTGGTCGTTTGTATCATTTTGCTGTCCATGGTCCCATCAAAGAACCGACGATCCCAACTTGTGTTATATACCAACCTGAAGCACCAAAGTCTTGAAAAACTGCTTATGGTGTTTTTTCAAAATCTCTGAAAAATTCCTAATCTTTTCCTCCATTCTCGTGTGCATCGACCATCCACAGTAGATCATAATACCATACTGAACATTCACAATGTAGCAAATATTAGCGATTCCTCCTAGATTCCACCAACGAGTTGAACCATCTGTCGGATTATAAGCAACTAGGGACATAGCTGGCAGCGTTGAGATATTGGTCTCGTATCTCTTCATCATTTCTTCGCGAAAATATTCTGTGGACACTGGATCTAGTTCCAAAAATAGACAAGCTCCAAGAGCATATTGTAGTCCGAAAATCGTGCAGTACACAATCCAAATAACCCAGTAAAATCCGGAAAAGTATCGAAGTTTGTCAACACTAAAATAGAGACCATTTTTGAGGATTATTCAACAAAATGCTCACTTAAAAACGGCCCAATATCGATAAATAAACTGAACAGATAACAAAGCCACCGTTGCCGAATAAAAGAATGTGTAGCTCGCTGAAAGAGGAGACATCAAGACTCACAGACACATGGATAGAACAAACCAAGGAACACTTTCCTATATGCGAGATCTTTTACTCCTAAGGGCTCGGCAAATGTGAAGAAGATGAATCCGGCTTTGAAATTATGGACATTCTGAAACAGAACTCAAAAATTCGAAGTCAAAAATTTGAAACCAACCGGATATATGATGATCTCCATTGTCGCAAACATCATCCCCAATAACGTGAAAGTGCTAATGATATACTTATACGAGCCGAACATTTTTTGAGCTCCAGCAAAATTCAAAAAGAGTAAAATCGCTCCAAGTCCCATTGATGCAAAAAAGCCAACTTGCGGAACCGCATGAGCAATGTCGATCCAAATGAGAAAGTTCCCTGGTTGCGACATTATATTGATGTATGGTTTTATTTCGACTCGTTCAGTTTTTATAATAAACATTTGTAGCGGTGAGTGGGAAAGAATTCTTAATATTTCATTCGATACAAATATGTAGTTGTTTTTTAAGAATTGACTACAAAAATGGGTCTGGACAGTTAACAAAGGTATGAGTAATGATAGCATCTGAATGTCTATTGCCACGTGGTACCAGCTGAGTGAGTCGCGTTCGAAACTTTGTTTAAAATTAACAAAGAAGTAATTTTGTTGGGTTTCAGAGTTTGCCAATTGCTCGCTATAAAAATTGCAGCATTGCAACAACCTGGAACTTATCGGTTGAATCAATGAAAATTCTAGAAGCCTATTTTTACCACTAACTAACAAGCATGCCGAATAGAAGGGTCCGACCAATTTGAATATCGAGAAGCCAGTCAACTCTACTATTCCAACACAGACACTAGGAATTGTCAAAAACAGTAAAGAAGAGATCAGAACTCCAGTGGATGTTCTGTTAGCTGCTGCGTATTTATTTGGACCCTGCTGGGCATGCTCGGGTCCTTTTTGTTTGGAGACAATCCGTAATTTGTAAAATATGGTAATTGATAACATGACAGCAATGAAACCGAGAACCTGAAAAAGTATTATAAACCTTGAAATGATAATATTAAAAAGATGTGCTAATATTAAACAGATGTGTTCGAACAGAGGCCCGCCCTACTACACTTGCACCTTTAACCCCATAATTTTGGATACTATTAAAGATGTGAGAAAGTTATCAACTGATAAATCGTTTATCACAATATCAGCAATTTTTTGTCAGTTGACACATTTTTGATATCTTTCATTGGAATTGAGATATTTGAGCTTAAACTTGACGGAGTGGGAGGCTTTCTATTACAAATTTTACTTAGTGAATTCATAGGATTTGTACAAAAAATTGTGAATTACAAAACGGAAGCGCTAATTTCGTTTAGTATACTTGGAAATTTTCAGACAAATCTGAAAATTCCAGACTACCTTTTCATGCCTTCAAAGTTGACTATCGTACCATGTTTGAAATTCCCCAATAATAGCGGAACTGGTCGCTCACAAAACATCCAATAGTTCCACAATTGTGATGATGCTCAAGTTTCGTTGTGTACCAGTACAAGAAGTCATCGAATGCAGCAAAAACTAGAGCTGTCAAAATGACAGCGTTGGAGAAATCTCCTTGATCCATGCTTCGGTAAAGTGAAGGGACAAACAGAGCCTAAAAATAATAAACAGCACAATATGACAGCAGGGTCTTCAATGTGATTGTTCGACTTTTTTCTCTAATATTTTCATGAGAAATTTTTTTTTTAAACTTACAATATTTCTTCCCAATGCTATTCCTACTGTAGTTATTGCTGAAATTTTCAGCTGTAAAGGCAACGGTTGTGCACTAATCATAATAAATAATGGATCATAATCCATTAAATGTGGATGCCAATTTACAGTCAAATAAATGACATAAGGGAGCTCTCCGATAGCCAGCAAAAAATCTCCGAGTGACAAGAATCCGATCAGACGCATATTTTTGTTTTGACGCAGATCTTTTCTTCTAAAAGCTACAGATGGAAATCACAATTTTGAAATTATCGATGCTTACGTAAAAAACAGAAAAAGAATATAGGCATTCAAAATCGCACAGAGTCCTTGAAAAGTAAGAATAAAAATATAGGTACCAAGTGTGATATCATTTGATAGCTCGCCAACACTTATGGTCATTTTGAAAAATATTGTTTTTTCCGATCAAAGAGAAATTCTAGATCTGATTTCTGATTTTTGTTTTGTTTCGCATTTTTTCCAACTTCTTGTTTTTAACTCCCAAGTTTTCAATTTTTCTCACGGCGTCGGGAACCAAGATTTATGATGATCAGAGTAGAGAAACTGAGTCATAATACCACGAAAACTTCTAACAATTTATCAGAATGTATTTTATTCATTTTACAGAATTTCTCAAAAATTAAAACACTTGTCCGAATTACAACAATTTGAGCCTATTCCATAACAACAACTGTTTTCGGAGCCTTTCCAGCCATAGCCGCCTTCTTCCCATCTTCGAAGAGCTTGTAAGTCGCTTGAATGAACAATTCGACTATTTTTGGATCACTATAATCACTGATTTGATCCATAACACTAAAAAATAGGCATTGCTCTCTCTAAAAACACATTTCCAACTCACTCTCCACCGGCGTCCTCCACACTTTTTCTTCCCATCTGCTCGATTTGAGATCCACTCGCCATGATTTGTTTGATAATGTCGTTTGGATTGAATGCGTCTTTGACTGCCGATGGCACACTTCCATTGAGAATCTTTTTTGGAAGATCCGGCTCCGCTGTTGCCGGACGTGCCAGGCCGATTCCTTGGGTGGTGTTTTTCTCAACGGCATCAATCATTGCACCGACAGTTCTGAACCCACCTGTCAGGTAGAGAACAGTGTTTTTGAAGACTGGTCGGATCTGGAAATATTTCTGTGCTGAACATAGCTGTTATTGTTACGAAAACTGAATGAGGACTGAAGGTCGTCAAGTTCCTAATAAAAACTGAGGACCTTAAAAGTATAATAAAGGGTAGAAGTTTTGGAAGTAAGGCTGAAGGCCCCAAACTCCTCAAACTTATTCGACTCACCGCATCAGCAAACTCCACAAAGAATGCCTCCCGAATCTTGGTTGACTCTCTTTCATGAGCGAAAACATACTTCTCAGCAGTTCCTCCGGTCAGCTCAACAAAATCGAATCCATGCTTCTCATAAGCTGCACACAGATCTCTAGCATCGTTCACCGTAGTTCCTTTCTCTTGAAATTCCTTCGAGTTCGATTTGATACCAACCAGGAATCCAGTCGACTCTGGAACCTCTCTTCGAATCGCTTCGTAGATCTCAATGATGACTCGATTGCGATTCTCCAGTGACCCGCCATACTTGTCCGTTCGATTGTTAGTAGTTGGAGAAGTGAACTGGGTAAGAAGATATCCGTGTGCTCCGTGAAGTTGGATGCCATCAAATCCACACTCGTAGGCATACTTAGCCGCGTAAACGAATCGATCGACGACTTCCGTCTTGATTTGTTCCGTAGTCAAAGCGATCGGTTTTCCATACATTGTGCCTGGTGGATCGGTTTTCAGCTCGATGTCTGAAGCACCGAATGGCGTGCGATTGACCCAGATTGAGGATTGACGGCCTGCATGAGAGAGTTGCATGATTGCTAGAGCGCCATCGTGCTTCATGTTTTTGGCCCATTGAGCGTAGAGGGATCTTCGTTCTTCACTGTCCCCTTCTTCGAAAATGATCGCGTTGCCAATAGCTTCAAGGTTGGTCTGAAAAACATTTGAGAACCTGATGTGCTTGTATAAGAGGAGAGTTTTGGTCTAGGATCCGAAAAGTGTGTAGGATCCAAAGCAAAAATTTTGGTCACGGTTGGAAGGAGGCCTAGTTTTCTAGAATTTCAGATGGCCTAGGATCCGACTGCCACCTTAGCTAGGACTCGGATTACTAGACTTACACTTTGACCTCAATTATCTCAATTTCGGTAGGAGATATCGAAATTGGGCAAACTAAACACAATTTGGTGATATTAAGACACGCATTTAATTAGTGGACACTTTTTCGATAGCTCTTCTAGAAAATGAGATGATTAAGGTCAAAGTTTGGGACCATCAAACAAATTGAAATTCAAACTAACCGGATCAACAACCACATTTCCAGTGATAATCATTCCATATTTTCCACGTCCCCATTTATCATAGATATTCAGAATTTCTTTGGTTGGCAGTCCATGCTTCTTCGGATTCTGTGGATCATACGTCGACAATCTCTCGGTCATTGCCGCCTTCATGAATCGGTTCGCAGCGGTTCGTCCATTTGGAAATTTGAGTTTCTCGCCAAGAATTTTTGAGCTAACGATAGCAGCATTTGGGAATCTTTGGAGAGTCATCGTGAGAAGAATGATGGAGATTCTGAAAGGAACGGCGCTATTTAAACGAGATGGGAAATGGGAGGGAGAGGAGGATACATCACGGTCGGCACAAAACACAAAATCTAAGAATCTCATGTTGAGTACACTATTCATTTTTGTGACCTGCGTCGGTGGCCCTGATCATCTTTCAGAGGGAAAGGGCAATTGTCAAAACATGAAACGCTAGATTTCTTAACTACAAAATATTTTGCGAAAAGGAAGAAATTTTTTTGAAAGAAGACATTTTTTTGAAATTTTGATGACAAAAAATTAAGGGAATCATTAAACCGCCTTGTCTGATTTGATTTTTTGATCTACCTGATTTACTCCATTATTGATAAACCTAGAACAAATTATATAGTTTTTTTTTTCATTTGTGACTGTTTCAGTGGACATTTCGAAAGTTACAGAAAGAAACGAAAAAAAAAATGCTTCACTATATTCCAAAAATACATATCATAAAACTTGTTTTTGGAGGCCTCCTTTAATAGAAGGTCCCTTCTAATGCAGGTTTTACGGTATTTGAAAAATTGAAATTAGACAAGCATGGGATAAAAGTTCGAAAAACAAATTTTAAAAAATCACCTGCTCTCGTCTAGATTCACTTTTAATTTCTATTTGTGTTTGATAATTTTCGAGAAAACCTTTCTAATTACAGCCCTGAAATTGAAATTTAACTTGATTTGTTTTTTATGACAATTTTTCAAAAAAATTATGGTAAGATCAAATTGTCTTGCCAATTCTTGAATATTGCTCGGTCATATTTTCCCCCCATCCCGATTCCAAACTGTCTAAAAAACTTGAATCCCCCCTTCGTTTCTTCTCCAAAACTATTTGCCAACGTTGTAATATACCATTTTCGTCTACCCCCGGTGCCTCTTATCCTTCCAACTCCAAATTCTCAATTTTTTCTCTTTGCGTCATAGACGCCTTAAATCTCAGTTAATGCTTCTGTACAAAATAATTAACCTTACTACTTACATTCTCCACCCTGAATCTCATTTCCGCTTATCTAACTCTGCCCGTCGCCCCATGACTTTAATTTGCCTCAATCCCCATATAAATGATTTCTTTGCATCCACCATCCCATTTTGGAATGCCATAACTGCCAATGTATGTTGACAATTTTTCCCGGGTCATGTTCATTCCCCTTCTTATCTCTCTTCGTTCTCTAATTTCAAGTGCATTGTTTCACTCAAATACCGTAAAACCTCTAATAGAACGACACCCGGATCANTCTATTACCGTAAAACCTGCGATAAAAGGGCCCTTCTAACTTACAACTTCGAGCCAATATATCTCGGTTCCTCTCAAAGATATGAAAAAATCGTCAACTGATAAATTATTCATCATAACATTAGAAGTGTTTTATCTGTTGACAGATTTTTCAAATCTTGCGAAAGAGCCAAGATAAAATAGCTCAAACTGAGCCTATTACAACAGGTGTTATGGTATTTTTGTCAGATTAAGCTTAACAGACAGTTTTTACAGTTAGAAATGTGGCGAAAATTGATCAAGCTGGTGATAATCAGCAAATGTTTCACAAAAACTTTTCTTTGCAAACGCGCTCAGCTGAATCACAGT